GCTCAATGAAGGGTAGCATTATTATTAAGGAATGAAGGAAATTAATAAACAGGTCATTTTATTCAGATTCCCAATCCCTATATCTTCGTAATGCAAACATAAATGAATAAATGATATTTATTAGCATATAAATGTATAGTTTCCATCTGCAATAAAAATGATGTCTAAAAATTATAGACATGAAAAACAGGTTAATGGTTTCCAGGGATTTGGCATGGTGATGGGGAAGGGAGACTAAATGCTAGCTGGAGGGAGAGAGCTTTGTAGTGATAGAATAATTCTGTATTCTGTACCTTGATTGCAGTGGTGGTTACACAAATCTACACATGATAAAATGGCATGGAACTATAAACTTACATCTACCAATGTCAGTTCCCTGGTTTTTATATTGTATTATTGTTACATAAAATATAACCATCATCGAGAAATACTCGATGAAGGGTATACCCAAATCTCTCTGTACTGTTTTTGCAATGTAATGTTAATCTATAAGTACTTCAAAATAAAAATTTAAACTAAAAAAAAAATATCTATGTAGAATTTCCTCCTTTGACCACAATTATAGTATTCAGCTCTGTCATTCTATATCTCAGGTGATTCAGTTGGGGTTCTGGCATAAACTCTGGTGTTTTGACTTTAAATATAACACTCTCAGTGCATACATCTCTGTATTATTAACCCTTCCTAGGCCATTTCACTACTTTACTACACGTGTCCAAGGATTAAGCGGTAAGTGTGCCACAGACAGGATTCCGAAAGGATGACGTTCAGTCATCTTCGATTCTAAAATATTCACTATTAACTCTGAGCGGTGAAATTCAGCATGTGGCTAGATATTCCAATCTACTTCCTGCCAGCGGCAGCAAGGATATGAGTATATTTTTAAAATACTCTGTGGATTGAGAGGCAAGAAAGCTTAATATCAGCTTGCAGCTTGGAAGTCTTGAGATGATACTACAGATAAGCCAGTCAGCTCAATAACAGTAAAAGCAGACATCCTTAATGCAGATGATATGGTGGCCGGATGTCTATGCTCCAGTACCTAGACCAGTGCCTGGTCCTCAACGAATATGTGTAAATGAATGAATGAATGAATGAGTGAGTGAATGAATGATGGGACCATTAAGATTAACCATGCGAAAATGACAAAGTCGAAATGTAAGAGCAAAGAATGAGTTCACCTCTGTGGCCCAGGACTTACGGGAGCGTGATCTGCCAGGAACCCTTCTAACCCTTCTCCCTGCTTCTCTAGGCAGCTTGAAATCCACTCTCCCGATGCGAAGCACACGGTGATCTTAAGGAGCAAGGACTCAGCCACGGCCCAGGCCTGGTTCAGTGCCATCCATGCCAATGTTAGTGACCTGCTGACCCGAGTGATTGCGGAGCTCAGAGAGCAGCTGGGGAAAACGGGCATTGCTGGGAGCCGAGAGATCCGACACCTTGGGTGGCTTGCAGAAAAGGTAAGGAAAACTGCCCCCAGAAACAGCCGCTTTCTCCCGGGTTTCACCAGCACTGTGGCAACCACTGAGGTCAGCTACCTCATTGCAGAGGATGATTGTCTCCCTCACTGTCTGTTTGGGTTTCTAGTCCATCTCCAACCGGTTTGCCTCTGTATTTTACAGGGGCTGTGTCTTAACCTCCCTGGCGGTCTGATTATGTCAGTAATTTTGTACCCAAAGTGGTACATTGTTTTGCATGGAAATGTGTTGTTTTATATTGTAGGCCAGTAATTTTTAGGAATTACTCACTTAAATCTGTCCAAACAAGAGTCTAGTAGGCATCCCAGGTATGATAAAGTTTGAAACACAAAATCATAAATTGTAATATAATAAATTATAAAAAATAATTCTGGCAGTGAAAATTAACCCAGAGCCACACTCAGGGTTACCGCCAGGGTAGTTAATCAACTTCGCTTCCCTCGTGTATCCTCCAACATGTGGCAGAGTGCAGGCGGTCACTAATGGTTTGTTGAATGGATGAATGAATGAGCGAGTGGATGGATAGTTTGATGCTCACATCTACATATGAAGCGCAGGAAGAATAACTCGAACTCACAACAGAGCTGTTGCTTGGAAGGTAGTAAGGAAGTGGAAATTGTTGTTTCAAAGGGTTTGTGTGGGTTTTGACGAACTTGCTTGTTAATAATGCAGATGCGTTTACAAATAATAACAATAATAATATCAGCAAAGGTTTCTTTGAGCGAAGACTCCGTGCTGACTCTTTTCATATATTATCTTGTATTTTTCACTGCATTCTTAAGCCAGCAGCCCCTGAATGTCATCATTTACGAGCACGGATTTTGCGCCAGGCATGGCACTAATCGGGAATGGGGAGGGGTGGGTAATGAACAAAGGTTCAGTCTCTGTTCTCAGGGAGGACAGCTGCTAGTGGAAAGCACCTGGGGTCATGTCAACACTGTCACTCTGGTTTCTTTTCCCAAGCTATGTGATATGTCGAAGATAGGAAAACTCACTTTTCAGGGATCTCCTGGGAGTTAACCCTTTTCTTCATTTCAAAGGATTGAGCCTTTGCCATTGTCCTGACACTTGGTTGCTATCTCTTTAACTTGACCTTGAGTGCTCAGGAACACTGGGCTTTTGGGACAGTCTGACCTCCCAGTGACTCCCATTCTAATAGGTGGTAAGTTGGAATAATGATCACCACAATCCCGCTTTCCTGCCAGGGAACCATGTCACCTGAGAAGGCCCCGTCAAATGGCACTTGAAAATAACGCTTCAACACTGCATTTGGCTGTTTTTCACCATTGTTCTTTGTTTGTAGCAGTTCATGCATGGGGCTCAGCCACAAAGTTCAACACAAAGTGAGCCGTTTGGTTTGGGATTGTCCCGTCTCTCCCAGATTTCAAAAAAGCCAAGGGACAGTGCAGGTGGTGGTAGCTCCAACATCATAATAAACACAAACCTCAGTGGCCTCTCAGGGTTCTTGATGAAAACAACACTGCAACTCTGGACGATATCATTTTAAAAGTCACAGTCTGTAACATCTCCACTTTTTACTCTCTCCAAATATATGTATTTTTATTAGGAGAAGGCCTGTGATTAGTCAGGGATCTTTCATTTGCAAGTCCCAGAAAGCTCAACAGCTTGAGCCAAAAAAAGGGGGTGTATCCCTTCTGATAACTACAATGCCCCAGGCTATGCTTCAGGCATGGTGGGGTCAAAGGGTTTACATAATGATATTAGGCCTGACTCTACATCTCTTTGCCCTTTCTCTTCATTAGTTTATACTTAGGCAAGCGCTCTTCCTTGGCCCAACTCTTCCAGGCTTGTGTTTTTCCTTACAGCTGGCCGCTTTTGCCCCATCGTTCCAACTGAAACTCTGAGATGAAGCCTGATTGGGCTGACGTAAATCATTTGTTCCACCCCAGGCTGAGGCTGAGATCAGCCTCCTCCAAGCCATGTGCACTCAGAGATGAGAGGTGGTTCTTGAAAGGAAAGCTAGGCTGCTGTGTAAGGAAAAGACTAAATGGACTCTGGGGAAGCAAAAGCAACAGACTTGGGCTGTAGAAGAAAAAGGGGAGGAGTTGATTGGGATGGAAAATGCCCTCCCGTGGTTATGGTCCTGAGTGAACTGGGAGGCATGACACCTATTTCAGGGTCCTGGCAGAAGTTGGATGGCAAACTCAAAAGGGATAATTGGCAAGGATTTATTGCAGGAATAACTTATAAAATGTAACCAAGGTAAGGGAAACCAATAAGAGATGGAGAAGTAGTCCAGAATGAAAACCAGCAAGACGTGTAGCTGTTGGAAAGGGCTGCCCATTCATAGCTGTGGTCTTTGAGAGAGAAACACAACCCCTGCCCGCTGATCTGCCAGTGTCTCCCATTGGCTGTGGCTGACTGGATGCCAGAGGCAGAGGAGCCCCAGTGAGAAACTCTGTTAAAGTCAGCCTTGCAGGGCACAGAGCAGGGTGGGAAAGCATAGAGCCTGAATCTGGAAGGGCAAAGGGAGGCTGTCCAGCAGTCACATCTGTCCACCTTCCAAATAACTGAGATGGTCTCAACTCCCAAAAGGACATTTCTCTTATCTACATTTAAAGTCATTACCATTTGAATAGTCGAAAAATAGTAGTGGGTCTTTATTAATGATACTGAAAAATTTTTCCAGCGGTTCCATTTTCTCACATATGAATTGCCTGCTTATGCCTTTTGCTTATCCCAAATTACCAATAGATATGCTATTCGGAGCAATAATAAAGGTGCATAAAAAGCTCTTTCTGGTTTTAGAATATTATTGTTCTTTTGATGTCATTTCAGATAATCATTACAGATGTTTCTTTCAATTGTAGTATGTATTGTATCCATAAAGTAATGATGGCTTATCATGGACAATTATCAGAAGCAAGAATATCTTTTATTGCCTTCACTAAAACTTCTCAAAAGATTACCATAGATCAAGTCTATGGGAATCAATTCAAACTGGAATCTTTTTTGAATAAATATTTAATACTGAATCCTAGTGTGGAGACATATGAATGGTTTTTAGCAAAATGTTACAATGAATGGCAAATCCTTAATACTGTGGCTTTCTTATATTATCACAAATATCAGCAAATTTGCTTGGTATTTGGAAAGATATAAAGTGTGATCCTATATATATATATTCAGCTGTAGTTTACTTTAAATTGATAGCCTTTGTCTTTTCCTGTACTGTTAATCTTTGATTTTGTGGATTAATAATAGTAGCTCCGGGACAAGATTTGTACATATATTTAACGTCAAGTTTTTAGAACTGGCATTTACATGAACTGAAACAATATGGGACAATAACAACTCCCTGTTAAAATCCTGTTCAATGCAAATCCTAAAACCTCTTCTATACTATGCAGGAGTTAAACTTTTTATATTAACATTATTTTTTCTCTGTGAGATGGTCTGGGGACTGGACAAACGGCTCCTGCAAAACAGCTAGTTCTTGAGTCAATGGGGAAAGTTCAGTGCTCTCCAAGAGAGGAGAATGAGCAGGAAAAAAAAGTGGAGGTAATGGATTAATACAACGTATAGGGAGGGCAGGTCTAATGGGAGGTGAAGCTTCGTCCTGAAGGAAGGTGACAAGCAAATCTGGTACCTTGGAGGACATCCAATTATTGGAAGATCTTGAAAACTGGGAAGATGGCTTGATTTTGATTTTGTAGCCAGAAGAGAACCTTCATATGCAAAATCAGAGAGAAGGGAATTTAGGGATGCTCGCTATGGACTGAATGTTTATATCCCCCCAAAGTCCATGTGTTGAAGCCCTAATCCTTAGTGTGATGGTATTTGTAGGGGGGGCCCTTTGGAGGTAATTAGGTTTCGATGATGCTATGAGGGTGGAGTACTCATAATGTGATTGGTACCCTTATAGGGGATGAAGAGATCAGAGCTTTCTCTCTCGCCAACATGTAAGGATACAGCCAGAGGGTAGCCTTCTACAAGCCAGGAACAGGGCCCTCGCCAGACCCCCTGTTGACACTCTGATCTTGGACTTCCAGCCTCCAATACTGTGAGAAATAAATGTTTGCTGTTTAAGCAACTCAGCCTATAGTATTCTGTTATAGCGACCTGAACAATAACAGTGATCTAACCCAACCTCTTCTTTTTATCTGGGACCCAGAGAATGGAAGGTGTTTTATCTAAATCACACTCTAAATAAAAATACAGAAATAATTAAGAGAGTGGGACAATGCGGTGATATCACAATTTCTTTTACTTACCTTATAAAAGAATTTACTATAGCTCACCCACCACAATCAATTTTACTCTTTCCTTGAACTCTAGTACTCTGAACTCATTCTCTGAACTCTGTACAGCATCAATGTCAGCACTGGGCCAGTAGCCTTTGAACTGGGGCCATATTGTCTTCTTGACTACCTGTTTCTATCAACTCCACCACAGGTCCTGTACTGCTTTCCCCTGTGAGCGCCCTCACCTGTAGACAGGCCAAGTGCGCAACGTAAAGTCTTTCCTGCGATCATATGAGTCTCGGAATGTTTCACTCCTTGCAGGCCCCAGTCTGTCCCCAAAGAGCCCATGAGTGCCAATCCCTACCCTGAATCATAAAATAAATCATGCCCCAAACACATTTTGTTCATTGTTCTTTAGCTAATCTTTTTACAGTTATCATGGAGGTGTTTTCAAAGGTCTGATTTCAGACAAGAGAAAAATAAACTGAGTTGTGACTCACTTGCTATTATACTTAGGGAAACAGTAATAAACAGGCACATGGCAGAATTGCTGACTTGCTTTGTGTTCAGTTCGTCAGTCATTGCCTCTGCTTCACCTTGCTATCTCTGTTTGCAAAGTATTTCTTGTCAAATTAAAAACACAACCCAACAAAACAATAACAACCAGTTGGAAGCTCTAAGATGCAAGCTCAATCCTCAGTTTTCCTTGTATCCATTGTAGGTTCTTTCAAATGGGAGCATTTTTATCCCTGTGCCTCCCTTGGGTGTTATGGAAGG